TTCCATTTATTCTCATGTCTGCGTTCATATGTTGGTTTCTTTATTATTACGCTAAGTTACGCCTTTTGTGCTACCAGTACAAAAAGAAAAAAAAAATCCCAAAACCACATGTTAAATTCCGACATTTCAAAGCAGTTGGAATAAATATATTTAGTAAACGAATATATTTATGCTACATTGACTGTGTATATCCCGCATCACTTTTTAAAATTGGCAAACTTAACGGAAATATATTTATAACTAATTTGGAGAACAGGCAGAGAGTTTGATATTAAACTTGAAGCCAAAAAACGTTGCTCTATATTATTGGTATTTTCACAATTGTGAAACTTCAATGAACATCTTTAAAATAAATATACATTCGGATATCCCGATCGCAAAAAATTATTCATTTTAGGATACTTATTGTACAATTAACGTTTATGATCGTAAAAATATTTATTAGTTAATAAGTCTGTAACAAATACTTTAATACAGGACTATTGAGTAACAAGACACCGGTTTTAAATTACGTAATAAAATTTATAATTACTAAGCTTATAACGCGTTGAAATAGTTGAAATAATGACTTTGGGAGTTGTCACTTGTAAAACAATATACGCGACTGGCAGTTCTGTCTTTAATTAATTTTTACAATAAAGCATGTAAAAAAAACTGAATCAACGTATTCGAATCATCACTTGACATTGACAATCACATATATCGACTGACTGAAAGTAGATGTGAAGTAACTGTACCAAAATGGCTATCGGAAAAAAACGTAAAAATAAAATAAGTATTAGTCATCGATTTCGTATTTATCAATAATGAAGTAAGTATTATGTAATTAAGGCAATTTGTAGCTGGATTTTGACACCATCAATTGATTAATAATACTTATTAATGGTGTCACCTACATATATATGTTCCCTAAAAAATTTTACGATACTGGAAATCGATGCTCAAAACAACTTAGATTACAAAATTGCAAAAAAAATACCCATGTGTTTTCTTTAATATAAAAATTATAAAGAATGAGAAACAACGACAAATCAAAAGCGATTTTCTGAAATCCACTTCCCTAAAAGATTTAATTTCGAGGAAGTCAGTCAGTATAGCTGATGTCAGATAACTTAGTTATGTCCTTTCGGAAACTTAATCTAAATTTGAATTTTCTAAAATTAATATAGGATGATTGGCATATCAAATATCGAATCGAAAGCTGATAAGTATGCATATTGGTTAAAAATGTTTCACCAAGAGAAAACAGCAGTGCATTCCTTAAATAATCTAATCTGAATTTTTTAAGTTTATGCGATAATACATTGTGTATTTTCAAGATAAAGCTTTGTTTTCCACAAAAAGCATCGTTAAAAAACAACTCATAATATCTGATTCGTTTCGCAATTAAATAATCATCCTTGTATTTTGAATTATTAATCAAATTGATGTTGACAAATAATGATTGAACAAATTTTAAAAAAAAATCCCAATTAAAAAGTGCACCAATTTGGACAATAATTTCGCATTCTGGCCTATTATTTGCGTGCTAATAATGCAAACCTCTCCTTAAATTTATTTATATGTATCAAAGTTACGTGCGTCATTTGTAATTATTTTGGTATAAAAATGATTGTTCTCTCCTCTCAAAGGATCAACAAAACGAATTGTTTACTCTTCCCAAAAGGAGCAAAAACGGTTGCTCTCTCTCTTCCCAAAAGGAACAAAAACGATTGTTTTCTTTCTCTCTTTCTCAAAAGGAACAAAAAAAAAGAAATTACCTGCCATAATGAGTGCAGATCAAGTTATGTCAGTTGCAATGCAGAAGCATCTTATCGAAGGCGCCGGTTTCGATTTGTTCGGTAAAACAATTCCTCGCCAAGATACAGAATTATCGGTCGATTCAATTGACTTTTACTCGGGGTTTCCTTTTAAATAAAGATATATTTAGGCTAATCTATTGAATTAAAAAATGCCTCATGTTCTTTTCCGCGTTATTTAAGAACTATTTCATATCATTAAATTATACTTTTTTTTATTTTTCTTTAAACTAGATCTTTGTTTTCTCTAAAATAGATTAACATATATAGATTTCTTAGATTTCTTTTAGAGTTTTAGAAATTCAATATCATAATTTTTTACCTTTCATACAGTATCTTTAATTTAGACTAATTAATACGCCTTGTAATTCATACACCTATGTGCAAATGTCACATGATGACATTTAAAATGCCACAGCAGATCTTAGCAGATCACAATAGTTTAAGGAATTAAAATTCTTTTATTTATACGAAATCACCCACAAACTATTTACTCTCATATAAATTTAAATAATAATAAATTTTATCCTAATGTGATATGCAGATAAGCGTCATATAACAAAATGGAAAACAGAAGTAATTGAAAGTTAAGTTTTAATATTATTGACTAAGAGTAATCATTCTACTAAAGCTCTATCAAAAAATATATATATATATATTAAAATAAAATAAAAGGAATACCCTTCCGATTTAAATTTATTAATGATAAAATGAAAATATATATGGTATTTAATATACTGTTCAAAACTGTCATGTGGATTTCTTTATCAATTATTTACACTGCCTTGAAAAGTATTATAGTTCTCGGCTTAAAAACGCCAAAAAAAAACAATTTTTCTATTAGTAATAAGGCATATATAAAAGGATATATAATTCACATTCAAATAATTATTTACCATTCACGTGATATTACAGTAAAAAATCTATTAATATAATTATATATAAATATATACATATAAATAAACACTAAATAAATATTTTATTTTATAGCATTTAACGGTAGTCATAAGAATTCTTATCAATTAAAAAGGTTATATTCAATATTGTCTACTTTAAAATATTTAATTATTTATATCGCGTTCAAGCTGATACGTATAGAAGGTGTGTGTTATGTTACTGCAGACTAGTACATCAAATCTAGAAATGTAAATAAAAATTTTAACCAATTTAGTAAATTAAGTTTTATCGAAATCCATGTGAAATATGTAACACACGCATATTTATTTTGATAGATTCGATCTTATGCTCTGAATAAATCAATTAATGTGAATGAAATGATTAGTAAGGTATCACATCTTAATAGAGGTTTCCTTTTCCTTGTTTAGGACGAATTGCCGGAGCTCATTTTTTTCTAAAATAAATTTACATTACCATCTCGTTATGTCATTAACGTTAATACCAGATACTATGTCAATCGGTTTGCAATTTTTTATTTTTTTTTTTATCATGCAGAATTATAATAAGCAACATTAAAGTTAGAAAAAAATATGAAGGATAAGGTATATATTCGCATTGTTTCTTAATTCTGATAATGCTGTAAATAAAGTGAAAATAATTATGCAAATACCAGTGGGGGCATTAACATTATGAATGTTCAAGTTATATTGATTCGCAATAATAAACGCTTAAGTCATAGTCAAAGTTAGCAATGATTTCACCTCGTATTTTGTATGCCGAAACTAACGAAGCTATACACAAGGTTTGTTGTGTACGGATAATCAACTGGGTTTTTAATACTATTTTAGGTAATTTGAATGAATTGACGGAATATTATGAAATAATTGACCTTGTGTTAGGTATGAAAATCATGTCTAAGTTACGTCCTTTAAACAAATTTAGATATGCCTAACTTCATGGTTATACTAAACATTCTGCGCATTGCCAACTTTTCTACTGACGATCCTAGTTATTTGTCGCCATTCGGCCGACAAAGCCTTATACATCATAACCGAGATGTTCATAGTCTCAATCAACTTCTATCATGAGGATTTATGACGCAGTTACATTTTAGTTTCGGAAATGTTACTTTTTGCCCATTACAATAAAATTTTGTATTATTTATCATTTTCAATAAATTTTGAATTTAATTTGTTTTTTTTTTTATGAAATTACTCAATCTTAGTATTCTTTTACAGATACTATAATATATGTTTTTTTTATTTGCTTCTAAAAATTTTTTAAATATTTATACAGTGAAACCTCCCTAAACAATGATGGTAAATGACCTTGTCATTTGCAAAATTTTCAAATGACCCTGAAATGACCGGTCATCTCAATTTTGGGTTATTTGGAAATGATTCGTGCCATTTATATGATACTTGAAAATACAGTACGTACTGTACGTATAGTTCTTTTCTGGCATCTGATTGGCTGGAACAAGTGATTGGTAAAAATTTTAGCGTACAGCATTGGGGCTTCCGATATACTAATTAATCAAAACCATGTGAGGTCCAATAATAGTAATAATACTGATGGATTTTGTGCATAAATCGATCGGCAAACCTTTACTAACGAAATACTAGTATCTAAAAATCGATTCACCTCATATACAAACTATTTGTTTGAAGAAATTTTTGTAGCAAACGATTCGCATAGTATAATATAAAAAATTTACAGGGCCAAATTTTCGATTAATTGAGCTTTTTTTGTTATTACATTGGCAGAAATTACTCAGTGACTAGTAAATATTCAAAAAAATTGATTCTTCTCGTGTGTATGCTATTTTATTTCAGCAACTTTTACAATAATCGATTCACATATTATAACAAAAAAAAAATACAGGATCAAATTTTCGATTAATTAGACATTTTTAACTATTATGTTAGCAGGAATACTTAAAGACTAGTAAGTATTTGAAAAAAATAGATTCACCTCATGTACATGCTATTTTTTTCCAGCAATTTTTACAATAACCGATTCGCATATTATAACAAAAAAAAATTACAGGGCCAAATTTTCGATTAATTTGACATTATTACGTGTCAAAGCAAATTTTGGTTCTGACATGTATCTTGGTCACATGTTAGATCGAAGGGCAGTGCCATCACGGGTCAAGAAAATTTGATTGGCTAAAAAATTGAGATAATCGATCGATTAGAGTTTTTTTTTTACTATAAAAGCGAAACTTATATATTAATGCATAATGAAAAAAAGTAAGCCGCTTCCAAAAAATATAAAGTTTTATTATATATTATAACAAAATTAATCTTCAACAACTACATGGTTACGATTCTTATTTTGTTGTTGGTTTTTAGATTTAAAAGCCTTTGCAATTTTCACTAGCTCTTCATCTCTTTTTCTTTTTTTCTTTACATGTTCTGTCTCATCACACAACTGCGATTTTGAATTTTCTTGCATTATATAATAATTCTATTCTATTGTTTTACATAATACAAAGACAGATTTCTCGACAAAAATTAATTCACCGGCAACAGAAAAAATGGTTTGACAATATGTAGCTTCAGCTACATTAGAATGGTGACCTTTTGGATTTGGATTATACTTGCATATAACTGACAAATCAGTAGTTTTTCTATTAATACTATTATAGACACCTTTTTTTAAACGAAAGATAGCACTGTCACTATGTGGTTCAGAAGGGTCTTGAACAGGCACAGAAAAAATTCTGAAAGCAGGTGCAATTAGCAGATTGTAAATGGTAGGTTCATTTTGTAATGTTTTAATTTGCAAGGGTACACTTTAAGAAATTGTAACCTTCATTTTAAATATGAAATTAAATTAATCATTATATTCTTCTATATAAGTTAATATGAACTAGAGGTTCAGGCAAATCGTCCCAATAATTGCTGTAGCTTTACTGTAATGTGCCATTATAACTAATAATATATTTGGCAAGGTTACTGTAATTATTGGGGCAATTTGCCTGCACCTCAAGTATGAACAAGTTGAGTTTTATGTTTACATTTAACTCATCTTCAAATGCAAAACAACCAATTATCATTGTGATAGTTTTTTCAGTCAATTTTTCAATAAGTGACAATTCTCTTATATAAAATGCTTTAAACTTATATTTAGCAAATTCAGTAGTTGCCGTTCAGTAGACCGCAGACTCAGTACAATACTTTCCCAAACTTGAGACGAAAACACTTTTAATGAAGGAAATAGCACAGAAAATAGAAGCCATTTGTTTTGTTGTAGTAAATTTGAAGTTTATTTTATTATTTTTTTGCTATCGCAAAGATTACAAATTTTTTTAAGAAAATTTACATTTTTAAATCTTTTTATAAAATATTTATCATTTTTATTTTTTTACAAATTTAATATGGCCTATTTTGCTATATTTTAATAAGTCAACTATAATAAAAATATCTTTAAATATGCTTTTCAAATCAGTTTGTAAATCGAATTTTCTAAATGCAAGGATTGCTTAAAGCTAGGTTTATCACGAGATCTTCCATTTACATGAATTAGCCTGATGAAGCAAAAAAGAAAATGAATATTTAAACCTATTTTGGTAAAATGAGAAAAAATGTCAGAGAGACAATTATACATTGACACTAATCTTAATATTAATTTAAATTTGTATTGGGACTGGCTTTAAACATCCTCTAAATATATTTTAACAATTATGCAAGGTGATATATTATTATTCAAAAACTTTACTATCTTTTTGATTTGCAAATTTTTGTAAGTCTCTAAAAAATTGTGTATGCAATTATTCTATAATTAATTATTAATAAGAGTAATTAGTAAGTAAACTCTTTATTAGTTCAAAAATTGAATTTTTTAAAGCAAATAATTAATATCTTGATATAAAAGTAATAAATGCAATTCATCTTTTAACCTTTAGTCAAAATATAATGAATAATACTTTTTGATTTTCTTTTACTAAATCTAATAATTTTTCAACAAAGATAACCCGACCCATAAATTAAAAGATTTGGGCTGATATTTTTTTATATTTAACGAACAATGAAGGTTATAACTTTTTTCAAAAAAATATTTTTGTATTACTGATACTTTTAGTATAAATGTAGAATTACTATAGATAGTCTATAAAAGAATTTTATTTTTGTTAATGACTTTATAAGTTAATTCTGTTACTGTTGCAATAAAAATTTAATTTGTAAAATCATTAAGAGGTGAAGCTTCAACAGATAGTTGAATAAAAAATTTTATTATTGGGTTTTTAGAAGGCATAAAGAAGAAAAAATATGCTTAAGCATTTATATACCCTAAATGTCGTCATTGTTTGAATGTTACCATGCTTATTTAATTGATCAATGACAAATTGGTGAGACACAACTCACCTTTTTTCTTCAAAAAATTTACCATTAATAAAGGTTACTTAAGCATTACTTTTATATTTTTTATATATCAAATATAATAAACAATTAATTCTCAACAAATTTCTAACTAGTCTAACCACTTTATTGTTCAAAGCTTTTATAACAAATAATTGACATATTAATATAAATACAACAATCTTTTAATATTTAACCAAACAATAATAATACTGTTTTTTCATTTTTTACTTATTTAAATTTAAAATCTTCTCAGAAAGAAGGCCTAAAACTGAAAGGTTTGGGTAGATTTTTTCCAAATTTGATCAATAGTAAAAAAATTTAAATTGTTAAAATTATTAAAAAAAGAAGCCAATTTAACTAAAGTTGAAACTTTAACTATTGATTGTATAAAATTTTTTTATTAGATTTTTTAGATAGTAAATGAAAAAAGAAAAATTTGTTTAGATATTTAATTCTATAAATATCGTTATTACGATTGTTATTTGATTAATTAATTTAGATGCTTGAGGGCAGCCATAGCGCATTCACCTTTGTAACCAAAATCGAACCTTGTAATTTTACACTAAACCTTCTTAAGATTTTGCTTTTTATTATCATTATATACTGTGTTGTGAATTAGGACGTTATCAAGCATCTACTTTAATGAATTCTATAAAAAGTCTAATTGCCAGCTTGATTAAACAGACAAATTAGAATTTTTGTTAAGTTAATTGAAGTAGAAGCTTGGAAGCGCCTTTAGCTTTATTATTAGAAATTTCAAGCTAATTGTTTAAGACTTCATTTTTGTTATTATTGTATGTGCTCTAATTAAATAAAGTAAATATTTGCCTCAAATCAGTTTTTATAAATAAAATTGAAAAATAAAAGTGTGCCAAAATATTATTTCTCAAAAAAATAAAAAGTATCAAAATATAACTTCGAAAAAAACTTTGTACTTATCTTAATTTTT